GGCTGCAGCAGTGTATTGTCACAGCTGCAGGCAACTCTGTCAGAATATAATTTCTTGGCGGTGGTAAGTTCTGGATGGAGGACTACATTAGTGCTTTCTTGTTTTTGAATATTTTATATTTTATATGTGCACATACACTATATTGCCAAAAGTATTGGGACTTCTGCCTTTACACGCACATGAATGTTTGACCATTCTTCCAGAAGCGCATTTGTGAGGTCAGGCACTGATGTCAGACAAGGTTTGGCTTACAGTATCCGCTCTAATTCATCCCAAAGGTGTTTTTCTATTGGGTTGAGGTCAGGACCAGTCAAGTTCCTCCACCCCAAACTTGCTCATCCATGTCTTTATGGACCTTGCTTTGGCCACTGGTGCGCAGTCATGTTGGAACAGGAAGGGGCCATCCCCATACTGTTCCCACAAAGTTAGGAGCATGAAATTGTCCAAAATGTCTTGGTATGTTGACTCCTTAAGATTTCCCTTCACTGCAACTAAGGGTCCAAAAACAACCGCACACCATAATCCCCCCTCTACCAAACTTTACAATTGGCACAATGCAGTCCTGGCAGTTGCCAAACCCAGACATGTCCATCAGATTACCAGACAGAGCAGTGTGATTTGTCACTCCAGAGAACACGTGTCCACTGCTGTAGAATCCAGTGGTGGCATGCTTTACATCGCTGCATCCAACGCTTTTCATTGCACTTGGTGATGTAAGGCTTGGATGCAGCTGCTCAGCATGGAAACCCATTCCATGAAGCTCTCTACAAACTGTTGTGCTAATCTGAAGGCCACACAAAGTTTGGAGGTCTTTTAGCTATTGACCTTGCAGATAGTTGATGACTTCTGAACACTGTGCTCTTTAGCCTGCGCTGACCCCTCTGTTATTTTACGTGGCCTACCACTTCGTGGCTGAGTTGCTGTTACCAGTTGCTTTAACCTTGTTATTATACCACTAACCGTTGACCATGGCATATTTAGTAGCAAGGAAATTTCAAGGATGGACTTATTGCACAGGTGGTAACCTATCTCGCTACAACGCTAGAATTGACTGAGCTCCTTAGAGCGACCCATTCTTTAACACATATTTGTAGAAGCAGTCTGCATGCTTAGGTGCTTCATTTCATAGACCTGTGGCCATGGAGGTGATTGGAAAACCTGATTCCAATGATCTCCTAGATTGTAAGCTCGAAAGAGCAGGGCCCTCGATCCCCTCATGTTTTGCATTGTATTGGTCTGTCACATGTTCTGTCCCCCTTTGTAATGTACAGCGCTGAGCGAACCATTGGCGCTTTATAAATACTGTATAATAATAAAAATAATTTGGAGGGGGGGTGTCCCAATACTTTTGCCAATATAGTGTATGTGGTTTATAAATCATAGTCTTTCATTTTCATGTACTTCCATTTGAAGTACCTGGTTGATCCTGCCAGTCTCCTTTTTTCAGTGTTTTAAGCTGACCACATAAACCACATAAGCTGGTCTGTGCTCGTGTGGTCAGTTTTCAACCCTTGGCTGGCCATTTAGAGGTACAGGACACTACAGATGCAGAGCATGTCTTTATTGGGTAGTTTGTTCAGCCACCATGTCTCCCGACCAATTAAACTATGCCTCTGGCACACACCCCACTCTCAATTACAGGCTGCCTCTTGGACAACTCCGCCCCCTGCTCAAGCACAGCCTGTATCTTTCCTCAGGCTGAACGGACTGTAGAGCACAGGCACACGATTTGTCTGCACAGTGTCCTGCAACCTCACTCCACCAATATCGGACGTAGAGCTGCTTGATCACAGATACTTGTATGGAAAAGTTAAAGATAATTTCTGAAACGTGCCAAAAACAGATATGGTACTTGCATACTTGTAACTGTATTGGAAAGTGTCTATAACACTGTTCACAACTATTTTAAGCGTAAATGATACTCACTTTTGTGGCCACTGATAAAGTAAAATACGTAGTACCAGGGCTCGACAAACCCTGGGTTCCAGGTTGCCGTGGCGACAAGAAAATGCGGCCTGGAGCTTGGGCTGTTTTCAGCCCAAGTGGTGTAGCATAGGGGAGAGCAACATTGCTGGGCAGCCTGCAGGTGTCACTGCCACATGTGTGAGTCCGGGGAGTAGGAAGGAGCATTGGGAATGTGTAGTGTGGGTTAGGGGAGATGCGGGCCTGTACAGTAGTAGGAGGGGCAGGTCAAAGGAGTGGAGCTGGCAGGAAGTGTCCCCTGTGCGGCTTTCAGGGACAACTGTCACTCCAGGGAGACTCTCAGCCTCACCTTGGAGCAGGAACCGGCAGCTCTGAACAGGCTCAGCAATGGCTTCTAGCTGGACACCCCCTTGTAGGGGACGCCCCAAGTGCTTTGGTTCCCACCCTGGATGGGCTTTGACCCTGGGTCTGGGCCGCCCCATCGGTGCAGCCTCAGCAGTGCCCCATCAGTGCAGCCTCATCACTGCACATCAGTGAAGAAAAATTACTTATTTGAAGGTTTTTTTTTTTTTTTTTGTTTTTTTGTCTTGTATTTAGTAACAAAAATTTATTTTGGGTACCGTGTTGCATGACCGCGCAATTGTCCTTAAAGTGTGACAGCGCTGAAGCTGAAAATGGGCCTGGGCATGAAGGGGACAAAAGTAACCAGGAAGCAAATGGTAAAAAAAAAAAACAAACTGGCTGCTAACGTTTATAGCTGGCTCCTAGATTCAAAGCAAATTTGTCAAGCCCTGCCTAATACCTTTTCTGTGGGTCACAAGGAGTGCACTTAGTTCTGCACTCCTGTGACCCAGATTTAGCTGATTGTAGGATACAGTCTGATGTTTGCTGACGTCACTGAGCCAATCCAGGCTCTGGAGAGATCCTGACTTTAAACTCTGATTTCCCTAGATGCCTGGACTGGCAGCTGGCTCAGCCTCTCAATGAGCTGCTGAGCCAGCTGCTCCTGCCTCTTACACAGCCTGGTGCTCCAGTGAGCGCTGGAGGGGCAGAGCAGAGAGCTGGTGACTGACAGTCCATGGCTCACTAAAGACCGAGAACTGAGCTTTCAGCGGCCTTTGATTGCTCAGCTCTTTGTCTTTAGAGGTAGCGGGACAGATGGAATATGACTTTTTTTTTTTTTCTCTTTAGAATATTTAAAATTTTATAGTGTTTTATTGATACTTATGTTGTATACATTCTTTAAAGTGGTAGTAGAGTTTTTTGTTTAAAAAAAAAAAAAAAAAAATCTGGTCCCCTGCAATTGTATGGACTGCATACTGCCACATTATGAAAGACTTACCTGTAAAAGAATGCACACACCCAGCTCAGGCTAAAGAGGCACCTGGAGGAGGGAGAAGACAGTGCCATTGTCGTGGTATTGTCAAAGAGGAGGCAAATTACTTGCCTTGGTACTGTGCAGGTCTTCTTTGGCCTTGTATAACCTCTTGATAACACCTTGACTCTCCCTGTGCTCTTTGCAAAAAGTTACTCTTCCTCGTCGCCCTCTGAAACCATTTGTGTCCCTCTGGGGCTGCCTTCAGGTGCTCTTTCCCTCGCAGAGCCCTCTGCTTTTGTTCAAGAGGATTACTCCCTTTAACCACTTGTCAACCGGGAACTTTTACCCCCTTCCTGCCCAGGCCAATTTTCAGCTTTCAGTACTTTTGCACTTTGACAATTGCACAGTCATTCAACACTGTATTTAATCGCCACTGCAGTTTTTATTTTTTGCACTATAAACAAAAAAAAAGCAAAAAAAATGTTTCTATTATAAATTTTTGCAAAATTTTTCTCCTTCACTGATGTGCGTTTGATGAGGCTACACTGATGAGGTGGCATGGATAGGCAGCATTGATGAGGAGGCACTGATGCTGCACTGATATGTAGCAATGATGGGCATTGACGGGCTTGGGGACATCATAAGAATCAACCAGTGTTTTGTAATTTTATAATTAAAGTGGTATTAAACCCAAAAACAAAAAATATATTAAACTGCAGCTTACCAGTTATCGATGTGGTGGTTACATTAGTTTTTCTGTGCTGACTTTTTTTTTTTTTTTTTCTTCACCTGGTGATACTGCTAGTAAGTCTTATTTTTCAACTTGCTTTAGCAGACCAAGCTGTCCAGACAAAGTAGCAGTTAGAGGGTTGAGACAATTGAATAATCACTGACAGGGGTACTTACAATAGTCTGCTTTTATTCATTTGCTGTGTCTGTTTCTAAAATGTTAGCTGGTGTTCAGCTTCAATGTGTTAGACTAGCAGATTTAGATGGATGTGAATAACACTACCCTCTCCCCAGTCTGACAACCCTGCTGTGCAAGGGTGTCTGCTTTACTACTGTATCCACAATGTAGATACCCTAAGACAGGAAGTGTTACTGGAAGGATCATTAGGTGAAATAAAGGGGAGAAAAAATGCAAATGCAGTCACCACATCTAAGGATGGGCAAGTTGCAATATGTTGTTGTTTTCAGTTTTAATACCGCTTTAAAATTATAGGAATTTTGCCATACCTGTACAGTCCACATCTTGGAGTACATTACAGGACACTGGTCCCTCCCTATCTCTTTACTGCTTGCTTAAAAGAAAAGAAAAAAAAAGGGTCTCACTGAGCGGTGGGGTTTTATGGATACACTGGAGGGTCATCTCCATTGTTTAAGATTATGCCTGTGTCCTGCACTCTTAAGAAATACATTTTTCGCGCAAGTCAATATTTTTTTTTTCCTTCTACTTACCATAAAATCTTTTTCTTGAAATCTACATTGGACCCATTTCTCTGTGTTATTGGCTTTTGTACTGCTTGCTTACATAACTGAAGCATGGCAATTAAACACTAGATTATAAGCGGGCTGCCTTTAATGTTTATTTGCTGGTGCCCCTACCTCCTGTAGGTGAAAGTATAATCCAAGTTTAGGCATTCCTAATATTCATTTGTCCGTCAGCAGAAAGCCTATACATGCTACCTGAAAACTAACATGGGGTGAGCTTGAAGTATGTGAATTATGAAAATTTAATTTGTGCTTATTCTTTCTGCAGCAGTGAAAAAGAAGATGATGAAAGTGAAAAGAAGGAGGAACAAGGGACAGATTGGGAAGAGACAGGTGGCTCTGGCACAGATAAGTCACTGGGGCCTTGGAATAAGACTGCTCCTGCTCAGCCTACTGTAAATCTTGGTGAGACCATGTAAAACGTGGAGCCATAAATTACATTGTTTTTAGTTCACTTAACCACTTCCTGTCCGGCCGTTGTATATAAACAGCCAGACGGTGGCAGTGCAGGCTCAGGTGGCCGTTTATAAATGGCCTCCCCGCCCCCTGCTTGTGTGCGCTTCCTGAGAGAGCGCAGCATCGCGATCCAGTGCCTGCTGTGTTCTCTGGACACAGTGGAACACCGATCGTTGTACGGGACCTCTGTGCGAGGTCCCGATCATGTGATCACTGATTGGCCAATCAGTGATCACGTGAAGAGTAGTTAGCAAGATTTCAGTTCTGACATCATTGCTTACTCTGTGTGAAATCTGTGAATGATCACAGAGGTCACATGGTACAAGGCTATTCACAACAGCCTTGTACCATGTGACAAGCTATGACTAATCACAGCTCACACAGTATTTCTCAATGGCTGCAAGAATGCAGCCAGAGAGAAGGAGAAATGATTGCTTTTACAGCCTTTTATGGGTGTAAAAAAAAAAAAAAATCTTCATAACCCCCCACAAGTAGTAGTGTCACCATATTGCTAGGGTGACAGTATGTAAAAAAAAATAGTATAAAAAATAAAATAAAAATGTAAAAAAAAATCTTTTTTAAATCATTTTTGGTTATAAACTAATTTGGGCGTTTTTTTTTTTTTTTTTTTTTTTACTAAAAATATAACGGAATACATTTTAACCAAGATTTATGAGGAAAGGTTATTTATTTGCAAATTTTATAAGAAAACACTTTTTTTCAAAATTTTTGGACCTTTTCATTTATATAGCAAAAAAAATTTAAATCCCAGTGTTGAATAAATACCACCAAAATAAAGTTTTATCTGTCTCAAAAAAAAATGCAAAAAAATTCATATGGGTACAGAGTTGCATGACCGCGCAATTGTCATTCAAAATGTGATAGCGCTCAAAGCTAACAATTGGCCTGGACAGGAAGGGGTAAAAGTGTCCGAACTTGAAGTGGTTAAAGTGATTGTAAATGTGTTTTTACTCCATGAAACTAAATGTTTGTGTTTTTATTTCACAACTTTTCTAGTAACTGAAGTTCCAGAACCTGCACAGCCCAGTGGTGTATATAGACCCCCTGCTGCCAGAGTGGCAACTACAACACGGAAACCCCAAGGCCCCCCTGAAATTTTTAGTGATACCCAGTTCCCATCACTACAGGCCACTGCCAAGCATATAGAGTCCCGCAGGCAAGTACTTCAAAATGGTTAACATAATTTTGTGTCTTTTTGATGCCACAATTACTTTAAATAGCCCTTCTTGCATTTCTCCTTGAATAGTCATCAAAGTATAAAATTCCTGTTGCACATTTTAAATGTTCATGTGGTGTGACATTGCAATAGCTGGAATTTGTTTTTTTTCTCCATTCCTTCTGGTAAAAATAATTGGATTCATTGGATCACTTACTCCAGCTGTTCTTGATTAACCATTTTAAAACCAGGGCTTTTTTGAGCTTTTTCTGGCTTTTTGTTTACAAGTAAAAATCAGTATTTTTTTCTGCTAGAAAATTTTTTGGAACCCCCACAAGGTATTTGCGCAGCGGTTTTTCAAATGCAATTTCCTTTGGGAAAAAAGATGACTAAAAGATGCTGCATTGAGTAAATAGATACCTAACAAGTCATGCTTTTATAATGAAATGGTGAAAGTCTGTGATACCTAAAAAATCTCCGTAGGCAACGCTTAAAAATGTTTACAGGTTACCAGTTTAGAACTACAAATGAGGTCTAGAGCTAGAATTATTGCTCTCAGTAGAATGTTCGCAACAATACCTCATGTGTGGTACAAACACAGTTTACATATGCATGCGCGACCTAGTATGCGTTTGCCTTTTCAAGTGAGCATGGGGAGCACTTAAAAAAGAAAAAAAAAAAATTGTTACATTTTTTGACCAAAACTGGAAGCGACAAATTACTCGTCACTTCTGGTTTCTAATGCCATGGAGATGATCGAGGATGCTTCATTCCTCTATGGTAATCCTGCAGATCGCTGGCTTCAGTTCTGGGTTCTCTGGTAGGGCGGAGAGCCTGCAGATGCAGCTACTCAGATCACTTTTACAAATGCAGATAATCGCCTGCACATTAAAAAAAAAAAAAAAAATACTAGTTGATGTCTGCAGCTGGGGAACTGACCATGTACATGAACGCTAGCGGACCACACAGTTAAGGAAATTGTCATCATACTAAGGCCTCATTCACATGGGGCGTATCAGTGTGTACCCTATGTGAGGGCAGTGTTTACCTGTTTGGGGATGCATGGGTGTCATTTAGGATGCAGCGGCTGGAGGGACTCAGTAGCTGTTCCCAATAGGACATCTGTGTGGGTGTGTTTGTGCATTCCAGGCCGTGCACCTGCACCCACAGGGATGGCATATTGGGGCAGCAACTGTCCATGCAGCCCTTGCGTCGCAGTTGACATCAATGGGGCTGCCTGCATGGTAGAGTCACCTCACAACTGTGCGTCCCCGGGGGGGTGTAAACGTGTGAATGAGCCCTAAGAGGTGCTGGAGTTTGGAAAGAGGTTCCTGTATTTGTTGAGGGTTTGAATACATAAGGTGGTTGCACCTGTGTTGGCTCACTTTGGAAATGGAGCTTGGCTGCTAATGTGAATGGGAATCCAATGAATTTGTGCATTACACATTGGAATCAACAGCCTGCTTGTAGTTTTACTTGAAGTATTAGCATTAATTGAAACCTGTCAGAGAGAAACTGGGAGCTTACCATTGCTGGCCCCTCCTACTAAAAGTGCTAGTAATGTTGACTGTCTAACTTAAATAACTTAGATACCCAGAGGAGGCATGTACTTATGTCAAGACAGGTTTGTTTTAAAACAGATGTGTGTAAAATAATGAAAGTGTGCTGATGAAGTGGGCATGAAAACCCATATTTAATTTATCCTCTAGATCTCACCTTTTGCAATGATCTTAAAACTTTACAGTAAGTTTTATTGCAGAACTTGAAACAATGTCCTTTTTTTCCCAAAAGGATTCCTTGAAGCAGTTCCCTGTAATAGTAGTATCATGCTTCTCCCTCCAGTGGCCAGTGTCTCCCATCTTCTCCCTGCTGAAGTTTTATAGCCTCTGTCAGTCTTCAGCATTTCACAATTCTGGAAGTGTCAGATTCTTTAACCTCCTGTGCACTGTGGTTCCATCTGATGTCGACTTCACTACTGTCTCACATAGTTAAGTAGTAAAATTCTGGATAAACCCTCTGCACACTACTTTTTTGCAGTCTGGTAAAATAGCAATGCACAGCAGAGCTTTTTAGTTTACATGCATTGCAGTACATGTTTAAGCTGGCCAAATTAATCAAAGTAATCTCTCTGTCCACTCCCTGCTCTGCAAACTGCAAATGCTCCAGTGGATATTTTTTGCCAGTATGGGGTAGATGGAACAAGTGGTAGGAGAGCTAAAGGTGTAGGTCTGGTCATTGACCTGTAGTATGCAATAGAAATAAGATATACAGTACCTGTGCTCCGATTCCCGATGGCTATATAACCAATCAGGTGCTAAAGGGGTGTGACCACATGTTAGCACAAATTCTGGATGAACCCTCTGCACGCTACTATACACCTTTTCTAGCAAATACTGAAGTGTCAAATGCTGAAAATTCTGATGGAGGCTCAAGCACTTCAACAGAGCACAAATTAGAAGACACTTGCCAACAGGTATGACAAATTTTATTAGTTATCTGTGGTGGAGAGACATTGTCAGTTTTTAATGTAGTTCTATTTTCTGTATTTTATTGTCAAAACTCATTTTAAAATCGTGATTTAATTTGTTTTCAAAACAGAGATAAAGAGATGGAGAAGACTTTTGAAATAGTGAAGCATAAAAACCGTGCAAGGGAAGAAGCCGCAAAGAACCAGGCTCTCCGCCTTCAGTTAGACAACCAGTACGCTGTTCTAGGTGAACAGTAAGCCCCCCCCAAAAAACATTTTACATAAGATCTTTGATAATTTACCCACTAAGGTAAACAAACTACAGCTCTTGGACCGAGATCATCTGAACTGTCTGATCTTCTTCAGCGCGACGCACTGGATGATGCAAATTACTGAATCCAACAATGTTCAAAAACTTCACAGAATTTAATTATTCTTGCAATGCTACGCATTCTTCCCTGCTTCCTTGTCCTTGTTATGGGAACAAATGTCTTGTGAGACACTACCTGTTGAACAAGAATTCCCGGTGTTCAGACATAACACATCTAAGAAGAGAATGGAATAGCAGCATTCAGTGGTTATTAAAATCTGTTTTGCTGGGCCTGCACATGGTTGACTACCTCAGTTTTGCTATGCTCATAGCGGACACCACAAGGATTGCCGTCTCTTACATAAAGCAGAGATTATATGTTTCAGATAGCTGTGTTGGGACAGGAAATGGAGAGGCTATTGTACCCCCTTTCCTCTGTTTTGGCACAGCTATTAAAACAAGACATCACATCACCTTTTACATTTGTCTGCTTTGTGTCAATCATTTAAGTGACCTTAAAAGGGAGTTGGTCAAGACCCTATTGTCTTTTTCTTATTTCTTAAGATGGGTAATTGACACAGGTCTATATAGAGTCTAGTGCAAAGCTGTAGTTTGTTACCTTTTATAGAGGGTTAAAAAGCCTGAAAGCAAGAAAATAAAAAAAAAAAACTGCGATGCCATAAATAGTGCTCCCCTGTTATACCGTTTTCACAAAATGTGGGCTAGAACGGGCATTTAAAGAAAAGGTAGTTGAACAGTTTTGTAAATGTATCCAGCAGGTAAGGCTCATGGCATAACAGAGAAGCACTCTAAACTTGTAACTCCTTCATTCTGCAATATGATGTCGATCTTCCTTTTGCTAAGCACAGACTAGGCAGTCTACAATGCCCCTTCCCCTATTCTCCCCAAAAGCACTGTCATATGCTGATGGTATCCACCCTTGCTTGTGAGAAAAAGGAGGATTTGTGGGGTATTTGGTTCATCGTGCATGTTGAAAAAAATATCTGGTCAGATTTTTATATAGGGTGGCAACTTTAAGTTCCCTGTTTGACATTCACAACTATATGTAAAAATTCCTGGTTTGTCTGATGCGAATACTTGGAATTTTTATGCATGGATTTATGAATTGGTCAGCAGCAGATGTTTAGTTTGATCTCCCCATGGTTTTAGCTGTGGTTTGATTTAGCAAACCTGTATTGAAAATTGTTAGTGGCGCTTTGTTCTGTCACTTGGCTGAGGCCTGACGAGCTTCTAGTGGCTGTAGCAGGACTTTGTTCCTTTTGGTGTGGATGCCTTTTCAAAGTAACATGCCCTTAAAAAAAAAAAAAAAAACGTGCAGGCATTATATATTTGATTCTGTGAAAGTAGGCTTCCACCAGTGTTGAAAGGCTTGGGTATTTCATGTTAGAATATTTTTGTTTTCATAACAGCAGATTTACATTAAGAACAGCTTGTCTTATGTCATCATTTTTCGCAATGTATAGCTAAACTACAGATTACTTGCTTAGCGAAAAACATTCCCCTATCTGGTAGAATGCTCGTCATAAACACTCCATTGCTCCTCTAGTCTACAAAGGTCACTTCTTCAGAAACAGTCATTTAGATACCATTTAACATTCCAGTAAAATGGAAGTTCAGAGGTGCAGGACTAATGTTCTACCACCTCGCTGAAAATGCTACGCTTGTAATGACTCCATGTTGAATTGTTTGCCAAATAAACTGAAGTTTCTCTTAACATTTAAATAAGTTTAAATGTTATGTTTTCTAGTGATATTTCCAAAAGATTTTATGGGGGAAAGGAAAATATTAGGCTAGGTTCACATCTGTGTGGCTGTGCAAGCCGCTGTTGGCATGGGCACGGCAGCCCATTCATTTAAATGGGCTGCCGTGCCTCCTGAAATGCAGGGAAAAGGTCCCTGCAGCATTTCAGAAATTGCAGACTGCAGGGGAACTGCAAGTGCAGCGCAGTTCCCAGTCCAGGAGCGATTTCCAGTGATATGGTGTTCCATTCGCATTAATGGCACCTGCACGCAACTCCTAATTTTATTTCTGTGCAGGTGGTTGCGGCTGTGGGAACAAGTACATTTCCGCAGTGGCAATAATCTGCACAGATGTGAACCTAGTCTTAAACGGGTAACAGGTCTAGTTTGCTGATGGAAAATACAGCTTATCCTTCTATTTGTTGCTTTAGTGAAGCCTGAAATTAATATGTAAACAGTGACTTTTCTGATGGTCCCAGTTTGCATAAAATGACAAGCAAGCCGGTTCCATTACTTTGCAGAATGATCAAAATTATTATTCATTTTCTGCATTGCTAAGAAATAGACTGCAAGAAATTGCTTTGGGCAGGTCAGAAGGGACATATTTAAAAATATGTGCTGCTTAGGGAGTCTGTTAAAAAGACCGTCACCAAACTTCGCTCTTTAAATGAAAACTTTGCAACAGTGTTGCATATAAACTTCCATGTATCCACCACTTTTTCTGAAGTGTTTTTTCCACGTTGTGACCTGTCTAATGTTGGTTAGAAACTGACCACATTATGAAAGTCAGTTCATGTCAGTGCCAGTCTCTGGCCCCAACCCTCTTCTCCTAGCAAACATTCTAAATCTGGCAAGATCAACAACTTACTAGCGCACCCATATAAAGTATTAAACAAAAGTGCCAATTGTAGCAGAGTCCAAAAAATGCACAAAAATATAAACAAAACAGGAGTTGATTGTACCAAGTGGAGACGGTGTCACGGCTGAAATTACTCAGTGCTCTGCTGTATGTGAGCTCTTACTGTCACATCTCTGCAGTCTTTAGATAAATGAGGCAGTTCAGTTCATCTGGTCATACACGGAGCAAATTAGTCTGGTTCCTGATGAACCAGCTGAAATTTGCTTAGTGGGTGGCTTTGTCGACTGCCTCCTGTCTGCCATCCTTAGATTGAAGTAGACAGATGGAAAACTGTCGGGCGAACAGTACCTGCTTCCAATCAGATGCAGGCACTGTGCGGGTGTTTTGACTGCCGGTGGTGTTGGCTGTTAGCATACAATAGCCACAGAGGAAGAGTGTGGGTGGAAGAATCTTAGCTTTTCTTGTTCAGTCCATGGCCAGCTTAAACCAGAAGTGTAAATAAATGATAGGGTAATACTACAAAGTAACATTTGTGTGCCAGCTAATGTTACATCAGAGATAACAAGGCCTATTAGAAGTCTTCAGGCTCATTCACTGTCATTTACAAGGAGATTAAAAGCAGAAAACAAGGTACTTTGACAAATAATCTTCTGAGCAGATTATTGCTGATATTGATAGTATGGGGACAGGATCTGTTTAAATAGTGCTGCTGGGTCTTCAATATTTCCCTCCTCTTATAGACTTGCTTTAATAGTAATTCCTATTTAGTTTTGCAAAAATGAGAGCACTGGCTTGTTTTGGATGGATCTAAAACTGGCCATATACTAAACAAAATTCAGCCAGCTCAGCAGGGATCTGTTGAATTTTGATCAGTGTTTGGCCATCCCTGCTCAACAGAAGGCACTTCTGTTGAAGGGAACATTCTGGAAAATTTTGCTTGATCTGTAGCTGCAGCCATTGATCAATGTATACTGACTGCAGTGGTAGCTGCTCTCAGAATACAATATCCCATGGGAATGGAGTCCTCCACCCACCTTGTTTGTGTGAATGGAAGAATCTGTTAGCTTTTTTTTCTTTTTTAGTTCAACCCACTGGCTGATTGAATAAAAACTAACTGTATGGCCAGCTTAACACTTGGGAACTTTTGTGTGTATCTGTTAATGTTTCAAATGACTGATGATTGGATATATAGCATTCTTTTAAGAGGCTGCTTTATAGAACAGCTGTAACTGCTACACTGAATGCCACAATATTAACAATTCACTTGTGTTTGGAGCATACTGAATTTCATTTAGTGCGCTCTGATGTTTATTGCTCTATGAAAAGAATTATGAAGTATCTGTTCGGTGGATGGCGAATAAATACTGATTTGGCATATTACACCTGTGTCACATAATGAAATGGCTTTTACCTTGCTTGCATTTATTTAAAGAAATTCTGAGCGAGGTCTGGATATAGGTAAACTTTTAGAAAAGTCAAGCTGGTCAGTGTTTTCTTTGTTACCTTGTTCAAAATGGCAGGTAGTAATGTTGCATAATAAACACAGCACCCCTCATTTTCCAAGTATCAAAGTCTTGCCATTGAAAGCTGGCATTTTTATTATCCACTGAAACTCCTATATATTTTTCCTGAATATTTTAGATTTTTTGAATTGTGCTTAGAGAGTACAAGAGGGTATTTCACAGCCTACACTGAACTGTGAACAGTCTAAATCTTTGCCAACAAACAATAGGTCTTTATTGCAGATATCTAATTTATAAGAAAAACAAAGGATGAAATTATTTATGTGGAATGTGTGCTAGACTGCAATAGTTTAATCTTCATATGGCAAATTTAGACTTGGCTTTTTTTTTTAACCAGTTCTCGTCCCATTTTTAGAGACGACGTTACAGAACATGTGAATCTCTGGGTTTTTATCATGCTGTGTGATGGGTAGTTGAACTGTCCATTAAAGGTGTCTCAGACATGGACTGGACAAAAGAAAAATCTGTGACATTAATAAAACTGAAAATTGAAATCTCAACACTGTGTATTACTCATTGCCCTATGTTTAACTTTTTATTGTAGTATATCTGCATGATGGTTTTTCTCTTCCGTTCATTGACGGACATAGCTTTTTTTTTATCCATAACCAAAAAGGGTTTTATAGCCCCACCTACAGGGGTAGGACACTAAGCAGAAAAAAGACTTGGCACCTCCTATGGGCAGTCCTCTATGGACATAAAAACCCCCACTGTGCTATAGGCCACCAGTTCATTTCTAGCAGGCGGGGTGTCCGGCCTTCATGGCTATGTCTTTCAATCTGCGGTGCTTACCGTGTGCTTGCAGG